AAAAAAGATTAATATTATTCTGTTTTTTTTTCTTTTTTTGCAGGATGAATATGCTTTGCGATGAAATTTGTAGTGATTTGTACAGTTGCTTCGAACAGCTATTAAGCAAACAATGGTATTAATTGAGAAATGATATTTTTTTTAATTTCATGTTTAAATCCTAATAATAATTTAACGGAAGGTTTTTTTTTTTTAGCAATGAAAAAGGAAAGGAAAATTTTAATTTCTAAAATTCAGGATGAAAGATTCAAGTATTATTGGAACAATCTGTGAAACTATAAAAGATTATGAGAATGATTATAAACATCTCAGATGTGATGTTCATATTGAAATACTTCGATATATCGAATTCAAAATTATAGCTGAATATTTAAATGCTATTGCAAGCAGGTAAATTTTTTTTTTATTCATAAATTTCTCTCTCATTTAGACTTTCAAAATTAACATCCACTAAATTGATTGTGTAAATTTCAGGAAATTTTTTTTTCCTTTTTTTCACAATATATTTGTTAATTTTAGAAAATTAACATGCACAGAATATTGGAAACGTTGTGCCATTGCGGAATGCTTGCAAAATGATGTTGAAGCACTGAATATAACTTTTAATCCATTATTTGCACAACTTAATTATGTTAATAAGGTAAAATTTTACCAAATTTCCTTTTTATCGAGGAAAAGACAGGAAGAGTAATTTTTTCCTCAATTTATTTATGTTTTATGGTTTTTTTTCTTAAAATTTTTAATTTACATCCATTTTTTTTGCATTTTTTTTTTTTTTTCAAATGACATTTCAGGTAACATTTGTTAAAAATGTTCTGTGTTATAGGGGGAAAATTTAACAAATGTATTGCATTCAGTTGCTGAATTTATAACACTTCGTGATAAGGGAATGCTTTTGTTGGAAATAGCATCATTACTTCGTAAATATCCAGAAATGACACAAGAATTCCTTTTCACTCTTACAGACATTCGTGATGATGTAACGAGCAGCGAATCACGGTTACTTTTAGCATTTTAGCTATATACAATTACACTTTTGATATCAAACATTTCCGATATAATTCGGAATAGCCGGAAAATAATTTTAACAAAACGATCGCCTTACAACATAAATTATCGCTTCCTAAACTTTTTTTGCTAGAAAAAAAAAGTATAAAATATAAGTTTTGCTAGATCATCGTTCATTTATATGCTTCTAAAAATGAGATTTCACAATAATATATTCCCAATCTCTGAAAGGATTTGTCATACAATAATGGCAATGAAATAATGTTAATGAGAAATATAAGATACATACATATGATAAATGTTGAAATTCATACATTTACAGAATTTCTCAAGAATTATGAAAAAAGTGATAATTTTTCAACCGATTATTTTATGATGAAATTCACTCAATTTCTTTTCCAATTCATATAAACAGTTTTTCATCATTCTCTTAATTAATTTTAAAGTAAAAGTTACTATCGAACAGTTTTATCGAATGTTGTTTAGGGCGTTAACGGAAGATTGCATGAAGATGATCGGTAAGAAAGAAAGCGATCCGGTATTGAAACAACTGTTCCAAATGGCAAAAGGTGAACGGAAAACAAGTCAAGTGATTAAAGATGTTGTTCCAAGAATACGACGACGAGTTAAAGTGTCAATTACTAATCAATAATTCACTACATGTAAATCAATGTATTTAATAACTAGAAAAATTAGCTTATTAGATTATGTTACATCATACCGACGTTATAACTACCCCGGTAATTTATATCTTAACTAAAAATTGCATTATCCTTTCTTTTTCGGTTCTTATCATATTAATATCACTGTTATTGTGCAAACTTGTTTTTATATAGTCAACACCATATAATTGCAGAAAAAATAATGAAATTAAAATTATAAGCGGATTAACTGATTTAAGCTCGCAAGTTTTCAAACAACTGCTGAAGTGGCACTGGATGCCAACTCCCAGTTATACTAAAATAATTTTTCTAAGAAACAATTCATCTTCTTATGCTACTTACGTACCTTAACTTGCATCATAACAGTTTGAGCAGCTCAAACAAGTAGGACTAAAAAGACTAAAATAAAAAAAATCAGATAGGACTATTGAAATTATTTAAATTGCTAACAGATTGTATGTTTGCACTTTGATTTAAAAATTTTATTATACTGCTGAAGTGCATTTTACACTAATTCACTTTAAAGCTCATTTTAAAACTAATTCATTTTAAGTGCATTTAAAAAAATATAATTCATTTTTTTGAAACAAATACGTTCAAAAAGATCTTTGTGTGGAAAAAGAGAACGAAAACTTTGAGGCGAATATTGAGAATAAATACAGTTCGATCATAGTAAAATTAATTATTGGAGAAATTAAAATGAATATGCTAATTCGAAGAGAAATTGGACTTTCACAACTTCCACATAAATTTCGGCGAAAAAATTTATGACAAATAATAGATGGTAAATATAGGACATCCGCCATAAATTCCAGTGCAATAAATAAATACTAATTTTCCTATACCCTCACTTTTTCAATGATCTCTTTGCCATTTTTACTACATCAGCAGGTTGTGGCTGCGCTGCAATTTCAAGAGATTCACTAAACGGCATTGGGACATCGGTGCCAGTTACTCGATATACAGGACCATCCAGAGCATCATATGCTTCTGATTCGTTCAGCTAAATACATAATCATTAACAGAACAACAGTCAAGTCATCAAAATGGAAAAAAATTCTTGCAGTGCAAAAATGTGAAATGCAAACCTGCATGCAGATTTCCGATCCTATGCAGCAAAATGGCCATCCATTGTCAACGGTTATTACATGATGGGTCTTCATAACAGATTTCTTGATTGTTTCAAAGTCAAACGGTCGAAGAGATCGTAAATTAATTACCTTAAAAATGCAATAGAGCACAAAACAAAAATTAATTTTACTTTGCATCTTTTTTCCCTCTACGCTCTCCAATTTCAAATAAAGTCATAAATCGATTACGAAATTTTTTTTATGGTTTAAATAAACAGATCTGGATTCATCAACCTGAGAAAATGTGAAAAGATAATATATATATATATATATACCTCAGCATTGATACCTTCTTTGGCTAACTGTTCTGCGGCTTTCATAGTTGCTACCATACCAATCGAATGTGAGATGAGTGTTATATCTGTGCCTTCTCGCTCAATTTTTGCTTTGCCAATTGGTACCATAAAGTCGTTTTTCAATGCTTCGTCTGACATTGGGAACATTTCGCTGTATAACAATTCATTCTCCAACATTACTACTAAAAAAATCAGTGATTAAAAACTTGCTAAGCTACAACCTCCAATTTTAATTTTACTTCCATTATATTGCCAAATAATTGCACAGCTATCTCATTTCTTAAATGTATATATTTACTATTTTTTAACTTTCTTAGGATCATGTAAAGTATCCAATAGCCCAGCATTCTCATCTAATATTCCAAGATTTTTTTTAAAGAGGAGACTAACAGGTACGATTTCTAATATATCTCGGCAAATACAAAAAAGAAAAAACGAAATCCACAAAAATTTCTGTTAAAGCACTAATATATTTCACAAATGAAAAGCAAATCTCTATCATAAATAGAATAACCTACCTGGATTGTCATCACGAACAGCTGACTTCAGCAAACCTTTTGCATCTTCTGCGGAATAGGGTGCCACAACCTGCAAAGTGGAAGATCAAACACATGAATTGTAGTACGACATCATGAAGTTTCGTTCCAATAATTTGTTCAACATTAAAAAATTTTAAAGCTAAGTAGTTTTTTGCAAAGGACAACGAACAACAAATAATTATGTATGCAACTCTCCAACTATAAACCTCGTAACATTTGATGGTGAGACGAAAAATCAAATAAGAGCAATATCAGTTGTGAGAACGAAAATTTCCAATTCGGAAAACTTTCGTTCACAAAAATTAATTTCAAACTAAAAAAGAAAAGAAATGAAACACGGAAGCAAAAAAATGAAATAAAAAATCAACAAATACCTTTAGTCCAGGAACGTGAGCATACCATACTGTGAAGTCTTGACTGTGTTGTGCCGCAACACCAGCAGCTGCTCCATTCGGTCCACGAAAAACAATTGGACAACATACCTAAATTTCTACATTACTATCATAATGTTGATTGATTAGATGGTTGTCTTTGAGTTTCCTTTTCTTACTAATAAAATCTAAAGTGAACTGTGTTCGCTCTTTCTTTCTTGTTACTATATTCAAAATGTAAATCTTTAAAGCTTTTGCATTTAAAAAATAAAAGAGTCTAATGGAAAAATTGAAGAAAAATGTGTTACATTAGCACAAATGCGTACCTGACCCGCTGACATATAATATGTTTTAGCTGCACTATTTATAATCTGATCGATGCACTGCATAGAAAAGTTGTAAGTCATAAATTCACAAATCGGACGAAGACCTGCAAATGCTGCACCGACCGCTATGCCGCAAAAACCTGCTTCCGTAATTGGAGTATCTATTACACGGGAATCACCGAATTTACGCATCAATCCTCTCGAAATCTTAAAAAAAAAACATTTAATTTTTTAATATATGTTTTCTCTCCTTTGAACGGTGCTCTATCAAAAAACAAAAACTGATGGATGTTTATGCATCTTTGGTCTTTTGAATGTACAAGGTAAAAAAAAAAGAATGAAATATTTTTCTTAACGTACGTCCATTTAATTTTTTAATTTATATTAATCAATCTGCTACAGACTATTAAGAAAAGAGATTAAACAGCAAAATGCATACAATGTAAGCAATATGAGGGAAGAAAGTATCATACTGTAAGTGTACTTTTAGGAAATCTTAAATAGTTCAAAAAACGTATGAATCACTTTTTTTACATCAAAATATTTACTTGAAGTAAAACAGCATTACTAAAATTGAGATATTAAATCAATTCTTAAAAGTTAAATAGTAAAATAATATTACATAGATACCTTGTAAGCGCCGTCGTAATGCCCAACTTCCTCACCTAGTAAAAAAACACGATCATCACGTGCTAACTCCTCGTCTAATGCCATCGAGAGTGCATCACGTACGCTCATCGTTGATGCAGCAAACTTTTGTCCAATTTGGGAAACATTTCTTAGAGTTAGGCGACTAACTGTTCCAACCAATTTATGTAATACCATTTTATAGCTATTATATGGGATTATTTCTTTAACGTAATTTGATAGTCTTGTAGAGCTTCAAAAAGGAAAACCTGAAAATCACAATTATATGCATAAAGTGGAAGTGTAAATAATTATGAAAGATCACAATTAATCCAAACACATAACACATTTCCAATTAATTCTTGCCCAGCAATCAGCAATTATTAAATACATGAACATGTATTCGAGCAATTTAATTAAAATTTGCTATAATTTTACCTAAATATCACAAAACAAAGGTATTATTCAATCAAATAACAAATAAAAAAACATGAATGTTTATGCTGCACCTCACCTTTTCCCTACAACTATAATGAATAAATGTATTTTTAATTCCAACAAATTTATAGAGTTCATAGAATATGCAAATTTCATGTTTCATGAAAATAAAATTCAAATTATAAATTGATGAACAAGACATATATACATGAAAGTTTATCTTTTCTGTGCAAAAAACTATAACGAATAAAAGTATTTTAATTCTAAAGGATAATAAATTCTTTCAAATGTTTACGTTGTATCATTTAAAAGGGTCAAAGGCCAGCAGATTTTATTGATGTTACTTGGCAGACAGTAATAATGCATAAATAAAAAGCAATACAAAAATGCAAAACAGATACAAAGTGAAGCATTCGAAATATAGAGACCGTTTATCATTTCTCGATCTTCCCTCCTTCCCCTCTACCACCTCACTGCATGGATATCTCTGGCCACTATCTATCTATCTATCTATCTATCTATCTATCTATCT